TTTTTTTTAAGGCGAATAGTTTTATATAAATCCGGTATTTTTTAAATATAATTTAAAATAGGTCTAATCCTCGATTATCCGTATTAAATACGAATATTTTAATAGGTTTTATTATTTTAATAAAAGCGATATATTTAGTTTGTTTTTATTTATTAAGTATTATATAAGACTCGTTTAAACCTTTTTTTTTAAGTTATTTAGTAATTAAATTTATTTAATAAAGTTAGCCGGTTTTTTAATTTATTTATAGATTATACTTTCGTAACTACGAGATTTTTAAAATAATATTAATATTTCTAATCTTTATAATAATTTATATTTATTTATTATTTTTAATAAGATAAAGACTTTTTAAACGCTACTATTAATAATAGCGTTTATATCGTATTTATTTATTTAGAATTTAAATTATAAATATTTTTTAATAAAGAGTATTATAAAATATAAAAATTTATTTATTTTAGCCGTTTTTTATTATTTTTTTATAATTAGCGTATTTAGTTTTTTAATATTTTAAAAGTTAATACCCGTCTTTTTTTTACGAGCCGTTTATAATTAATTATTAAATCGGGACGCTTTTATTTTTTAATAAGTAAATATAATACGTTCATAATATTATAAATGTCGTTTATTTTTTTATTAATAGGTTTTCTCTTTTTAAAAAATAATTTATAGTTTTTAAATATTTTAATATTAGATTATATATTTAGAATATATCGGTTATATAAGTAGTTTTTTAGGTCTTTAGTAAGTTAATTTAATTCTTTTTAAAAACTTGTAAATTTTTGTTATTTTAGCTATTTATTTAAATCGGTTTCTTTTTTAATAATAAATTTGTTAATATTAGGTAGTATTTTATAATCGATTTCTAACTAAATATATTATTAAATAACGTCGCGAGGTTTATCTAAGTTATAAAATAATTATTAACTTATTAGCTATTCGTAATTTAATATATTAATATTATTTAAGAGGGGGTCGTAGTTTAGTCTTTTAATATTAAATTCCGTAAATATATTATCAGTAATTCTTTTATTTAAATTATTTAATTTAGTATTTTCTTTAAACGTAAAAAAGTTTTATTTTAAATAAAATATATCGTCCTTTATCGTTATTTTAAATTATTTATATAATTATTATTATAAAATAATAAGGACTATTTTTATAATTAAATGTTAAAGAATATAAGCGTTTACTATATAATAGGCCTCGTTTAGTTTTTTAATACGTTATTAATAACGTTTTTTTAACATCTAAGGTTTATATATTAAATATATAATATTTATTTTTTTATCGATTTTATATTTTAATTAAAAGAGGTTTTTTTTCGTTTTAACTTTTAGTCGTTTTTAAAATCGTTATTAAAATAAAGCGAATATTATTTTTATATTTAGTCGTTTTTTCCTTAGTAATCGATTAGTTTTATAATAATTAATTAAAATATGGATATAGTTTTTATTATAATCTTTTATTATTAAAAAGTAATATTCGTAATATTAAATTATCTTATTAAATACTCGTCGTATTATATAAATAGATTTATTTAAAATCCGTATTTTATAAGCTAAGATCTTATTTTTTAATTATAATAAGTCGTTTTTAGTTTTAACTATTATTTTTTTTTTAATTTATTTCTTATTATTATAAAAGTTTACGTTTATTTAAAAAAGTCAATAGGTTATACCTTAACTATTTCGTATATTATTAAAAGTATTTAGATATATTTTTTATTATAGTTTTTAATAGTTTTAAAGCGTTAAGTTATTTTTTATTTATTTATTATAATAAGGGTTTTATTAAAGGGTTTTTTAGGGTATTATTTTAATTATTTTTTATTATTTTAATAGGTAAGGTAGTTATTATTATAATATATAATTTAAGAGAGTGATTTATAAAGTACTTTTTTAGAGGCGATATTAATTTATTTTTTAAAAATAGGTCGTTACTAAATTTATTTAGGTTATTTATAGTTTTTAGCTATATATTTTAGTTTATTATAATTATAATATTTAAATTCTTTTTTTTAATAAGATTAGTCTCGATTTATTATATTAAGATTTATAAGTCCGTTATATTATTTATAAATAGTAGTTTATTAAAGATTATTATTTTTATTATAGCGGTTTTTTTAATTAAAGTTATATTAAAATTATTATTAATATTTATATCTTAAGTTAGGTTTTTATCGTTATTTTCTTTTTTTTTTTTTTTTTTTATTTTTTTTTTTTTTTTTTTTTTTTTTTTTTTTTTTTTTATTTTTTTTTTTATTTTTTTTTTTTTTTTTTTTTTTTTTTTTTTTTTTTTTTTATAAAGGCAATTATTAATTTTAATTACGAGTTTAGTATATTAAAAGAAATTTTTTAGCCTATTAAGTTTAATAATTTCGTTTTTAATTTCGTTTTTTAATTTTTAATAGAATATAAAAACTTTAATATTATTAATAAAATTAAGTTAAGCGCTAAGTTATTTAAACTTAACTAAATAGTTTTTTATTAATTTAGTTTATTAAAATTATAATATATCGCGCTCGGCTTATCGTTTTTTATTTAGGTTTTAAAAAAGCAATTTAAAAGCTTTTTTAAATTTTTTAAAATTATAATAAATATCTTATATTTTAGTAAAGCATTTATTAAAAGTTTCTTTTTTAAAATATTCTTTTTAAAAAAGTTTAAATTATTTAAAAGCTCGTTTTTTAAAAAAGTTAATAACGTATATAACTTTTTTAATTTCGTTATTAAAGTCTTTTTAATTAAAATTCTAAAAGTTTTTAATTTAAATTAAAAATCTTTTTAAAGTTCTAAAAATATTATTAAAAATAATAAATATATTAAGTTTAAGCTTTTATTATTTTTTAGTAAAAAGGGTAATAATAATATTAATAATATTTTAAAACGTATTTATTTAATTAGCGAAGTTTAAAACTTTTTAATATTCGCTTTTAAGTTTTTTAAATATAACGTTAAATATTTTTTATATTTTAATAATATTATAATCGTTTTTAATTTAAGCTTTTATTAATTAAATAGTATTAATATTAAAATGTTTATTTAGTTTTTTATTATATTTAACGTTTTTTTTAACAGCCTTATATATCTAAATATATATTATTTAATTAAGGACTACGTTTTTATCGGAGTTAAATTTAATATCGGGTATTTTTAAATCTTTTTTAGTTTATAAAAGTTTAGTATTTTAAACTTAGGGCTATTTATTTTTATAAAATAAAGATTAAATAGATATCGTTCGTATTATTTAATAAGTTTTTATAAAGTCGACTTATTAAATAAAAGTAATTAAAATATTACGATCGGTTAATCGTAATAAGGTTTATATTAATAAAAGTCGGGGCTATGATATTTATAAATAATAATCGTTATAAAAATAGTTTTAAAGAAGTTTTTATTTATAAATCGTAAGGTAAATAAGGCTTTAGTAATTAATCGTAGTCTTATTAATAAATTCTTAGTAAAGATAGTTAAAAGTAATCGTAAGATTTAATATAAAATTAATTATTAAAAAAGTTATAAAAGTCTATTTTTAAGTCTAGCTCGGGCTATTCTATATATAAATTTTAATTATAAATATATTTTTTATTTTTTTAGATTATTTTAAATTATTTTAATTTAAAATAATTACTTAGCTTTTAAATCGTATTAAATTAAATTAATTTAAAATAATTATTATTTTATTTTTATATAATTTATATTATAGTTTTTTTAGTCCGTGAGGGTGATATATATATTTTTATTATTCGATTATATATATAGTGAGGTAGCCGCCGTAGGCCTACGGGGTAGGTCCTTAGTTTTGTTATATATATTAAGTCGTAATATATAAGATACTGCTCGATATTAACGATTTTATTACTAAAAAGGAAGCCGATTTAAATAGGTAATTAGAATAATAAGAATCTAAAAGCTTTTAGGGAGAACTAAATTAGCTTATTAAGAATCTAAAAAACTACCTATATAACCGATATATCTTAAATACATAATCTAATATTAAAATATTTAGAAATTACGAATTATTTCTTAGGGGGAAAGAACCTATTAATAAAAAAATAAATAATATTTATAATATTATGAACGTATTATATTTATTTATTAAAAAATAAAAACGCCCCGATTTAATAACTAATTATAAATAGCTCGTAAAAGAAGGATAGGTATTAGCTTTTAAAATATTAAAAAACTAAACGTACTAATTATAAAAGAATAACGAAAAACGGTTAAAATAAATAAGTTTTTATATTTTATAATACTTTTTAATAAAGAATATTTATAAATTAAATTTTAAATAGACGGATATAATATAAACGTTATTATTAATAATAGCGCTTAAGGAATTTTTATTTTATTAAAAACGGTAAATAAATATAACCTATTATAAATACGGAAATTAAACTTATATATTTTATAAATAATAAAAAAAAATAAGTTAATTATAATAATAGATATATTAATTAAGAGACTATATACCTTACGATATATATTAATAATTAATTAAAATAACTAAAATACGATATTATAAAGATTAAAAATACCGACGTTATTTTAAAAATTTCGTAATTATAAAAGTATAATTTATAAATAGATTAAAAAACCGGTTAACTTTATTAAATAAATTTAATTATTAAACAATTTAAAAAAAAAGGTTTAAATAAATTTTATATAATACTTAACGAACGAAAATAAATTAAATATATCGCTTTTATTAAAACGATAGAACTTATTAAAATATTCGTACTCAATACGGATAATTAAAAATCGGATTTATTTTAAATTATACTTAAAGAGTATTAAATTTATATAAAACTATTCGTTTTAAAAAAAGAAATAAAATTATTAAAATATAATAATTAAAATATAAAAATCGAATTAAAAAAAGGAATATAACTTAAATTTTATTTATTACATTTTATAAATTAATTTAAATGCAACGAACTTAATAAGTATATCGATAATAAATTTAAAAAGGGTTATATTAAACTATTATTTTTTTTAATAAGAATATTAATTTTTTTTATATTTAAAAAAAATAAAAAAAAGTTTAGATTTATAATCGATTATAAAAAACTTAACGAAATTATTAAAAAGAATTATTATTTATTACCTTTTATTATAGAATTTAAAGAAATATTATATAGAGCTTAATAATTTATTATAATAAACTTTAAAAGAGTATTTAATTAAATTAAAATTAAAAAAGGAGATAAATAAAAAACGGTATTTTAAATTTATAAAGGATTTTATAAATACTTAATTATACTTTTTAAATTTATTAACGTATTTATTATATTTTAAATAATAATTAATTACGTATTTAGGAAATACGTTAATATTTTCGTAATCGTTTATTTTAACGATATTTTTATTTTTTTTTTTAATTTTGAGACGTATAAAAAATATATTTATATAGTATTTTAAAAACTTTAAAACGTAAAGCTCTTTATTAAGCTCGATAAGTACGAATTTTATATATAAAAGGTGGATTTCCTTAACTATATAATTATATTAAAATAAATTTATATATAAATATTTAAAATAATAATAATTAAAAACTAGCTTATATTTATTAATATTAAAGACGTATAGTTATTTTTAAGATTTATTAATTTTTATTAACGATTCTTTAAAAACTATATTAATATTATTAGACTTTTTAATAACTTAATAAAAAAAAATATAACTTTTATTTAAAATAAAAAATATAAGAATGTTTTTAATAAAGTTAAGGATTTAATTATTTTAAAATTAATAATTATAATTTTAAACTTAAAGAAATTATTTAAAGTCGAGACCGACGCTTCGGATTTCGTTATAAGAGCTATTTTAAAATAACGAAATTAATAAGGAGTATTTTATTTTTATATTTTTTATTTTAAAGCGTTTTATAAAATAGAATTAAATTAATAAATTTATAATAAAAAATTAATAATTATAATTAAAGTTTTTAAAAAATAAAAACTATAGCTTTTAAGAATTAAATATAAAGTTATTATTTATATAAATTATAAAAATTTTACAAACTTTATAATAAATAAGAATTTAAATAAACGATAAATTAAATAGAGCGAATTTTTATTTAAATTTAATTTCCGAATTATTTATTAAAAAAGTTTAGAAAATAGTAAAGTAAATGTTTTTAATAGACGATTTAATTACGAAATTACGGTCCCTAAAGAAATATAAGTAATTTTTAAATACGACGATAATAGTAATTTTATACTTATTATAAAACTCTTTATAATAGCTAAAAGAGTTAATATTAGCCCGTTTAGAAAAATAATTCTTAAGCTTATTATAAAGGTTTATAATACTCGAGTATATAGTCATTAAGGTATTATAAAGATATAGAAACGGATTTATTAATATTACGATAAATTTATTATAAAAATAAAAGTCGTTAAAATTATTAAAGACTACGATATTTATAAGAAAAGTAAAAATAGCCTTTATAAAGCTTATAAAGAGCTGTAATTATTATTAGTATTATTAAAAGTATAGTATTTAATTTTTTAGGATTTTATTATTAAATTATTAAAGTTAAAAGAATTATTTACGAATATATAATACGATAATATCTTAATTATCGTCGATCGACTTATTAAGTTCGCTTATTTTATACTATATAAAAAAATAAATAATATTAAAAAAATAATATATACCTTTTTTAAAATAATTATTATTAACTACGGTTTACTTAAAGAAATAGTTTTTAATAAAAATAAGTTATTTACCGTTAAGTTTTAAAGATTTTTAATTTTATAACTTAATATAAATTATAAATTATCGACCTTTTTTTATTTATAAACCGATAAATAAACGGAAAAAATTAATTAGATTTTTAAGATATACCTCCGCTATTATATAAATTATAATTAAAATAATTAAGTTGTTAGAATAACAACAACTAGGACTAAACGTACGGCATATTAAGAATAACTAAACCTCTATTCAGTTATATAAATATTCCGACACGTAACTAGCTCTAGTCGCGTACGAAAACATATTCTAAAACACTTTCCTTATTATATAAATTTAAAAAAAGCATTATAAAATAAAATTACTTTTTTAATTATTAACTTATTACCGGGATCTATATATATATCCCCTTTAGTCCGTCTAATACTAATTAATAAATTATATCGAATAATTTATAAATTAATTAATACAAAAAAACAAAACTTAAGCTTATAAATTAAGCCGTGCGAGCTTTTTATATTTTATCTTTAAATTAAAATTATATTACTTTATTAATAAAACTAAATAAAAAAAGTTTAGGACGACTTTTAATTTTAATTTTTATATAAAAAGAACTCTCTATTATCGCCTTAAAATAAAACTGAATAAAGAATTATTTTTATATAATTAATAAAATTAATAATATACGCTATTATATAATAAATTTAATAAAATATCGTACGATTCGATACGATTATTATTTATTAAAACTATATTAGTATTATTTTTAGACCCCTAATTATTAAAAAAGAAAAAAATAAAACTAGCTTAACTAGAGATTAGAATTAATACTTTAATAAACGAATTTTTAATTAAATTAAATTCTAAACTATAAATAATATAAACGTATAAAAACATTAACGACAGGAGTATAATCCTTTTAAAAAACTAGATTAATATTATTAATTTAATATTTTAAGATAACCCCGTCGACCTTTATATAAACCTATTAAACTTATAAATAACTACCCATTTCGCACGAGCTTTAATAAACATTATCTAATTTAATTTAATAAAAAATTATTATGAACTTCGCTTTTTAAAAATTTTAAAGAATAAATAAAAGATTATTTTTTTTAAATAAATTATATTTTTTTAAAAGAATTTATACGAATCTTTAAAGATAATAATCTTTTTATATTAATAAGTAGGAACTATATTAATCGATTTATATAACTTATAAATACCCTTAAAAAAAAGCTAAAAGAAGCTTTATAATAATAAAATATATAAAGATTAATCTCTTATATATCGACAATCCCTATACCTACTCCTCTACCGCCACAAACTATAATTTAAAAAAAAACCGAATAGATATATAAATTAAAACCTATTAAATTAAATACGATTAATTAATTAACCCCGAGCGAGTTTCTTAAATAAGTCGTACGACAAACCTTACTAAGAGTAAAGTTTTTTTAAAAAGTCGAAACTTTTTTATAAATACTTTATTATATAACCTTAAATTAAAAAGAACCTATATTTATATATAACTTTTTATCAAGACGATTAATTTAAAATAGCTTATATAATCTTATTATAATTACTTTATTTTAAAAAAAAAAAAAAAAAAAAAAAAAAATAAAAAAAATTATAAAATAAATTAATATTTAAAAAAAAAAAATAAATTAAAAAAAAATATAAAAATATTTAATAATTTATATTAAAAAAAAAAAAAAAAAAAAAAAAAGAACTATATTAAAAAACCGTACGATATTTTTTATAATAAGGTTTAGGTATTTATTAACTTTTACCGTCGTTTTAAAATTATAAAGGATTAATACTATACAGTTTTCCTAAATATATTTACCGATCGTATAAAAAAGTTCTATTTATATTATATTAAACTAAATAAAAAATAAGATTAGATTTATAATATACTAAACAGCCACTTTAATATTAATATTAATTATAATCTTTATTAAACCGATTAAATAATATTTATATTCGTATAAGTAAAAAAAGAAAACTTAAATAAAATACTTATTAAGGTCTTAAAAATACTTTTAAATAAACTTTAAATTATATAACGTACCCTAAGAAAAGGATATTAAAAAAAAGTTATATTTTATATAATAATAATTAAAATATATCGCGGTATTTTAAAACTAAAATTAACGATAATTTTCTAAAAGCTAATATATAAAACGCTTTTTTTAAATTTATAAATATCTATTTAAATAGTTATAAATAAGACTTTTATATCGCACAATATTAACTATATCGACCGCCGTTATATTTTAAATTTTCGTCGCTTTTAAAAGCTATTATATAATTATTTAAAATTACTTTTTTTAAAAAAGCTATTTTAAAAATTAAAAAATAATACGAAACTTTTTATACGATTATTTAGCCTAACGCCCTAATACTAAAAGTTCCTAAATAAAAAATATTTTATATATAAAAAAGTAAGGTATTAATTTTAAAACTATCCTATAAAGAAACGTAACTAAATTAAAAAATAATTCTTTTAAAACTATTTATAAATATAATAAAATATGTATAACGAGTTCGAAATATACTTATTAAAATATAAAGGCTAACTAAAAGACGCCTCGTATAATAAAAAAAAAATAACAATAAATCTATTTTAATATACTTTACGATATTAATATTTTTATATCGTACGACGGGATAAAATATATTTATTATTTTTAAAATTACCGATACTTAACTCTTTTTATTATATAATATATATTTTACGATATATTAAAAAAAATTATAAAATATAAAAATAGCTAAGTTTTTAATAATAAAGAAACTTTAGTTTTAAATATATTTAAAAGAGTACCCCCGTACGAAAGTTAATTAGAATTTAGGATTTATAAACGTATAATTTAGTATAATTAAAAGTATAACGTTTATAAAGTCGGTTAAAATTAAGAACCCTATCGGACGAGTTATTTATTATATTTTAAAAACTTTAACGCCCTTCCTATTTTTATTATAAAATATAGATCGTCTAAAAGCGTATTTTAATAATATAAATAATATTATTATATAATAAGACGGTACGATAATCCTAATCCTAAGGAAATAAAGATATTTATTTTTTAACCTTAATCGTATAGAAATAAGTATATTTTTTATAAAAGGTTAGCTTTAAAAATTATATTAACGTTTTAAATACTTTCATACGGATCGATTATACCGACTTTTAAAAGATATTAAGTATAATAATATAAACAAATTAATCTTCTAAAAGATTTAAACCTTTTATTATTATTATTAATTATACGACCTAACGCTAAAAAAATTTAAGTTTTTTTTAAAGGATAACTATCATTTTAATTACGAAATTATTATAAATATCGTATAATTAAAAGATAAAAATATCCTATATATTATTAATACTAAAACTAACTTCTAAAAAACAACATTTTTAAAATCACTTTTCGTATAAAATATTTAGAATATACTATATAAATACTAAATTTATATATATATAAAACTATTAAACTATATTTCGTACGACCCTAAAACGAACTTTACGTTAATAAAGTTTAGGGTATAAGTAAAAATTATAAGTATATCGTGCGAAAAGATATTAATCGAAATATATTAAGTAATAAGAAAAGTAAAAAGGGTATATATACCTTTACGACGAGCGTACGAAAACTTATTTAAAGAACTTAGTTATAATATAAATAAAGAAACGATTCTTTAAATAGTAATTAAAGCCTTAAACGATATTACTAGACTTAATAAAATTATATTAACCTTATTAGTTTTTAAAATATACCTAAGGATTAACTTCGACTCACTACCCTTATTAAATATCGTATAATAAGTAAAAATAATTTAAAAAGCTATAAAAATATTTAAAATAATTAAAATAGATATTAAAATTAATCGTATAATTAATACCTAAAATAGACCTAATATTTAAAAAATCCTTTTATTATTTTTTTAAAACGACGTTTTTGTTTAAAAAAAAAATTAAAAATAAATAGGACTTTATAAGGTTATAAATATTAATTATACGATAATTACGGTAAATATAGTTAATAGCCCTACCTAGTTTTGTATAATATATATTAAGCTATACTATTAAAAAAAGGCTATATATAAAGATTAGGACCTAAACTAAAAAAAAATTTAACTACTATAGTTATTAACTTAACTAAGGCTAAGAGGGAAGCCGAAAAAGAAAATAATACGATAAAGCCCCGTATAATAATTAATATAACTCTACTTAATTTAAAAAAAAAATAACTATAACTTAACTATTAAGTTACGATAAGATAATATTATTACGACTTTTAAAAGACCGTATAAAGAATCTAACGCTACTAAAATTAATACCCTTATTACTTAAAAAGTCTTTACCTTCGTACGATACGACTAAAAATAATATAAATTTTTCTATATCTATAAGACTAGAATAATACGAAAAATTAAAAATAAATCTATAAAACTAATTAAAAAATCGAAATTAATTATTTAAGAGTATAAAGATAAAGAAAAAGAAAATATCTTTACGTAAATACTTACCGTTTAAAAAATAAGCTAAAAATTAATTTTAACTTTTAATTTTACCTTTATATAAAAGTTTAAGGCGCAAAACGAATTATAAAATATTACCTAAGCCTATACGTAATTATATAACAAACTCAACAGGACCATCGTCGCCTAACTCCCTAAGGAACTCTAAAATAAATACCTTAAGGGAACGCTATTATATATCCTTAAACCCCTATACGAATTAATAAAGTTAAGGCTATATTAATATAAAACTTATTACGCTTATTATATTAATAATCTCGATATAATATAATTATTATATAACCTATACTTACTTTACACGATAAAAAACCTAAAAGATTTTAAATTTATAATAATATAAATTAATAATACTTTTAGCTTTATTACCGTACGATTTTTAAAAAAGGAAAAGAAATAATTTAAACTTTATAACTTTTATATAAAATTTAAAATAATTTTAATTAAGGATTAACCGATCGAATTTAATAAAGGCCGTATTTTAATCTTAAATAAAAATATTTTAT